CCCTCAGCTTGAACAATCCCAGGAACACCTTCTTCCAGCCAGCCTTGCGTCAGGGCCGGGGAATGGGTGGGACAGGAGCCAGAGGCTGCGGAGACAGCCGTCTAGCGCCTGGGGTACTTTTCTCCCCAATAATCTGTTTTCAATTTTTCATTATTATATTTTTTCTTTTTCAAACCCATCCTGCCAAGGAACAGGAACACAAGTGTGGTCAGCTGCCAGCGCAGCCTACATCAAACTCTTTGAGAATTTCTGCTTTGAATCATGGGGAAGGGGACCCTGCCATATGTCATGTGTGTCCAGCCTCCACACCTTTGCATGTGCCGTTTCCACACCCTGCCAGGCCCCATCTCCTCTGTCTTTCCCGATTCTGTTCAGCATCAGTCAAGGCTTGGCCACAGGACTCTCCCTGGCCAACAGCTCTCTGATCTCTTTCCCTCTCGTTACCTCACCCCCTACAGTCTTACCAGATCTGGGGACGTGTCTTGAATCTCATTTTCTTGATTTAACACCTTTGAGGGCAGAGACCGAATCATCCACATGCTCTGACGACTTTCATAAATTGATAAAGTGTTTTTATCGCCGACATACCAGTGGCAGGAGAGATGATGAAGATGTTTATTCCCATTTTACAGATAAGAACATGGAGGTCATGAGACCAGAAGTGATAGTCACCCAGTTGGGGAATCAGCACCTCTATCTCGATGCCCCCGCTCCCTCTAACCTGCCCTGCTGGGCTAAGCACACAGTAGATGTGTGCCTAAATGTGCATGAGTGGGGGCTGGGCAAAGGCTGGGGACTGGCAAGCTCTTCCCTCAACTCCCCCCTTCTTCTGCCTGGACAAATGGTGAGTCTGCATTTCCAGCCTTCCTTGCGAGGAAAACACAGTCTCTCAGTGGACTGATGATGAAAGTAGGCCTGATTCTGCACCACTGTTTCCACACCCCTTTGCAATGTGACTTTCCCTTCGTTCCCTCCCATGGGGGTTGGCCTTGGGACTCTCTTTGGTCCATTGAGTGTGATGGAAGTGACCTTGTGTTAGTTCTGAGCCTGAACCTCAAGAAGACATGCAGTCCTTGCAGATTCCCTCTCTCAATCTCTCTCTCTCTCTCTGTCTCTCTGTCTCCCCACCTTCCCCAGGCCCCCGAACCTGACCTCCCCCTGCCCCACCGCTGGCATCCTCCATCACAAGACAAGCCCAGGCCAGCCCCTTGGAGAATGGGAGAGCCCAGAGAGTGGGACCAACACTTTTTTCTTTTTCTTTTTTTTTTTTGAAATGGCGTCTCATTCACTGTCATCCAGGCTGGAGTGCAGTGGCGCGATCTCCTGCTCATTGCAACCTCAACCTCCCGGGTTCAAGCGATTCTCCTGCCTCAGCCTCCCAAGTACCTTGGACTACAGGCCCACGACAACACGCCCAGTTTTTGTATTTTTATTAGAAGCAGGTTTTGCTATGTTGGCCAGGCTGGTCTTGAACTCCTGACTTCAAGTGATCTGCCAACCTTGTCCTTCCAAAGTGCTGGGATTACTGGTGTGAGCCACTGTGTCCGGCCCCAATTCTTACATAAGACAGTTCTACCATCACTTTAAGTCACAAACATGGTCTCAACTCAAATTTAAAATGTCCAGTCAAGCTATTAATCCAAACTCCCAGTTGGATTTGGATTTAAACCTTCACCCCTTGTCCAGCTCGGGCCTGTTGTGGGGCAGCGGTTTGGGGGGTTCTTTCGCTAGCTCTCCTCCCCTCCCCCACAGGTGGGGGCTGCGGAGATAGCAAGGGGAGAGAAAGGGTCTCACTTGAGCTGCTGCCATCCTGCTAGCTTTGAGCTGACAGTGTCACAGATGTCCCACAGATGGCCATGGCTGCAAGGCCCCTCACTCTTTACCCTGGGGGGACGCACCTCTTCTCCTGGAGTTCTCTTGCGAGTCCTTCCTTGGCCCTGAGGAATCCAATATCCAACTCCAGTTTCTTGCTAAGACCACTCCACTTCCAAAAGGCCCTAGGGGACAAGACTCAAGCTGACCCCTGCAGGTTACCCCCACCCCAGCCCACATCTAATCCCCCAAACCCTTCCAGATCCCCTGCCCAGCATCTGGAGGTGAGGAGTGGTCCCCTCTGGGTGAGGTCTCATAGCTGGAGCTGCCGCTCCTCCTGCAAAAGCTCCTCCCCAAGCCCCAAGCCCTTTATTTTCCCACCGTCAGTGAGGGGTGAAGGCTGCGGAGAGAGAGCTGTGACCACCTTCTTTGTAAATCCGTCGTACCTGATGACCTAGTCTAGAATTTCGTGTCTTTCCTATCCTGGGATCTTCTGTTGAACATTTTAATATATTTCAACAGCAGGAAACAGCCCTTGTAGACCGTTCTTGCTCTTGATTTTGTTATCTTTATATCTTGAATATTTTCTCACTTTTCCTTACAGATGCCTCACTTATTTGTTTTAATTGCAGCAAAATATACATAACATACAATTTAGCTAATTAACCATTTTAACTGTACAGTCTTGTGGCATGAAGTAGTCACATGGTTGTACAACCGTCACCACCAAACCTCTCCAAAATGTCACCTTGCAAAACTGAAACTCTGTACCCATTAAACACAAGCATCCTGTCCCCTCCTCCCAGCTCCTGGAACTGCCATTCTACCTTCTGTCCTTATGAATCGGACTAGAATTGGACTACTTTTTTTTTTGAGCCAGTTCTTGCTCTGTTGCCCAGGATGGAGTGCAAAGGCACAATCTCAGCTCACTGCAACCTCTCCACCTCCCAGGTTCAAGCAATTCCCTGCCTTGGCCTCCTGAGTAGCTGGGACTACTGAAGTATGCCACCACACCCTGCTAATTTTTGTGTTTTTAGTAGAGACAGGCTTTCACCATGTTGGCCATGCTGGTTTTGAACTCCTGGCCCCAGGTGATCTGCCCTCCTTGGCCTTCCAAAGTACTGGAATTACAGGTGAGAGCCGCCGCGCCTGGCCAAAACCAAGTTTTAATCCCACCAACAATGTATGGAGGAGTGTCTCTCCATATCCCCACCTGCATAACCTTGCCAATTTGAAAGTAAAACAGTCCCTGCTCAGGTGGTGTGGATTTAACAGGTGTTTCTCTTCCTAGGAGTGAAGATAAGCATCTTTTTATCTGTTAAAAAGCCACTGCACATTTTTTTGTGTGAACCATTGGCTCACCTCTTTGAGGGCTATTTTATACTTCTCTGCACCCCTCTCCTTGTTCCCCAGGTCCCACCAGAGCTGAGACTAAATGAGGGCCCAAAGCCAGATAGTTCAGAATCATGCCTTTATGCTGGGCAAATTCTGTTGGCCTGAGTTCTGGGAAGCAGGGCTTATTTCTGAGGGCACACCTCCCCCTGCTGGCCAAGCTGGGTGTTTCCTCCCCAGCTAGGACCAGGCGAAGAGGCAGAGCGGCTGGAGATTGAGGGGGCTGCCTCTGGAGTCTGGGTTTGATTTCACGTTACCATTGACTGCTATGTGACCTTGGGTAAGCAACTTTACCTCTCTGGGCTTTCCACCTCCTCATCTATAAAATCAAAATCTCAGCAGTGAGCTGAGATTGTGCCTTTGCACTCCATTCTTCTCACTCATGGGGTTGTTGGAGGAATAATCCAGTGATAGGGCGTGAAGGTGCTTCACAGTGTGTGACACAAAACAAGTGCTAAATAAATAGTAGCTGGAATTCTTGACATTCAGGAAGACCCTGCGGGAAGAGCGAAAGGATGATGGGAGCCTAGCGAAAGAAGCGGCTGGTGCAGCTGGAATCTCGTAGGTCTACTGCCTCGCCAACCTGCTTCCTCTTGGCGACCTCACTTTCCAGCCATAGGCTGGTCATACTGCAATGCTGAGAACTCCGTGCCCACACCAGGCAGGGCTTTGACCTCTCCCCTGCGTCTGGCTGGGTACACTAGAGTGTTGAGCAAACTCAACCCCCCCCAAACACACACACACACACACACACACACACACACACAAAGCATCTGTATATCTTCTTCCAGGGAGCTTGTAGACACCCTACTAGAGGCCTCTGTGATCACATCAGCTGAGCACCAGCTCTCTGTGTAGTGCTGGAGAAGGGGAGTTTTATCTGAGCCACTCTGGCCCCCCGCTGTAGGGCCCTGTCCTCTTATCTGACATTCAACTCTTGCCTAATTGACAATTACATTCAAATCCTCCCTCTGCTCTGCAACCTTCCATAGCTCCCCAGTGCCTCCCATGTAAGCCCAGATTCCTCACCCTGGCATTCAAGGCCACTCATGGCATTGAATGGTCTGTGTGTGGAGGGGCCCACTAGGCTACATGAGAAACACCCTCCAATCCTGCCCTTCCTTCAAGACTGAACTAAATGCCACTCCCTTCCTTCCTTCATTTCTCTACGCATCCAGTCAACATGATTTATTAAACACAAAGTGTATTTACGAACAACACATTTATTACCTACTCTGTGAAGACATTATGCTAGGCAGTGGAGAGTCAGTGGTCTTAGCCAATTGCAAACAAAATGTCTTAGTTTTGCAAATGTTGTAAACCATATGCCCATGTGCACGCGTTGGAGATTTCCTCCACGGCCCTGGGAGAGGACATGCAAGCGAAGAGCCCTCAGGCATTGCTGGCCTCACAGTAAATTCACTTCTGTGCCCAACCATGCCGGGCCGTCCAGGATCGTGGCCTCTTCCTCCTCTGAGCTCCAAAGACTTTCACTCTCAGCTCTGCCACTGACCAGCTTTGTGATTTGGGAAGTCATTTTTCCAAGTCTCAGATTATGTACGTAAAGTGATATATAGGAAGTGATTCCTACCTTGAGAGAGGAATGAAATGTTAATTTAATTGTTTAAAGGGGTTAATTAGATTAGGTGTAAAAATGCCTGCACGTGGCAAGTGCTCATTGAGCGGCAGCCAGTGTTATTATTACCATTAGCGGCAGCTGACAGCAGCTGACACGGCCAACACTGGCTACCGGCTTCCCGATGGATCCAGAGCTTTGCTTTCTTTGCCCACTGGAGGGCAGCAGAAAGCACAAACCTGCATTCCAGAGCTTTGCACCCAGGCTGACGCCTAACACAGGCCTCCCAAGCGGCAGGCGGAAGGTAAGGGGTTTCCGGGCTCAAAAGTGAGGCTGGTCAGTGAAGAGCCTTGTTCATTTCCTGTGTCCCTAGGACTGGATGTTAGTGGCAGGGGTAGGCTCCCTAAACAGCTCCAGCAAATGAAAAGGCAGCCAGCTCACCCAGACCAAAGCCCCAGTGTCGGTCCCAGGCTGCATCCCACAGTCCCGGACAGGGTGGGCTGGAGTTCTGGCCTCTGGAGCTGCTCTTCACATTTCTGTCTGTGTGACCTTGGGCAAGTGCCTTGACCTCTCTGTGCCTCCATTTCTTTTTCCATGAAATTGAAATATTGCTATTTCCCCCAAAAGGAAAAGCTTCCATATATGCAGAGGGATGGCCATGCTTGTGTTGCTTTTCATCAGGCAAATCTGTTACACTGTAATTAGCTTTTTTCTTCTGATTACAAGTGCAATGTATTAATTGGTTTGAATGTTTTATAGAGTGCCCTACAGCAGGCCAACACCTGTGTGAGCTGATGAAATTAGCAAAAATGAAGCTAGTTGTGTTGTTAAGGTGGTGGGATCCTGGATGACAGAGTTCCCCATGTCAGCACCCGCCACCCCGTTCTCCAAACTTCCTATAATGTTGCATCACCTTTATGATGATAGAAAAGGGAGATCAGGAGGAATGCTGACTGAGCACCTACTGTGTGCGGGGTGTTTCCATTGGTCTTTTCCCGAATTCTGCAGGTGCCACACAGGCCAGGCCACGTCTGCGTGGCTTGCCACTGTATTTCCAGTGCCCAGAACCACACCTGACATGTAGGTCCTCAAAACATACTCATTTAGCACCTAAAGAAATGATTTGTGCAAAGTTTGCAAATGAGGAAATTGAGGTTCAAAGACACTGTGTGACTTGTTCAATGTCACCTAGCTAGTGGGACGCAGGGCCAGGATCATCGAACCTCAGGTCCTGAGGAAGGCCTTTCTACTCATGCCTGTGTCTCCTCCTCCTCACATTCCCACACCCTCTTTGTGATGCCGACTTATTTTTCAGGCCTCGGGTGCAGGTAGCCTGCAGGAAGAGTGCACTCTTAGCTAGCATGGCAACGCTTCCTCCCTGAGTGTGCCCTGCATCTTCTCAACCCCCTGCGGAGACCTCGATAATCTGAAGCATGCCCTCCAGCTGGGGCTTTGCCTGCAGGCGAGGCCCCTTACTTGCTGTGGTCCATTTGGAAGTTCGGCAGGTGGGTTTCTAGAGCAAGGCCAGCTCTGCCCTTTGAGCCCGGAGCCATCTGTCTGGGCCCCGCCCAGTCCTGCACACACCTGGTAGCAGGTGTAGAGGAGGCAAAGCCAGACTTTGTCCCTTTGTCTGCACCCCTTTTCCCACTCTCAGGCAGATGTGTGTCCAACAGTGTTTGACCTGTGTTGTGTGCATATGGGAATACGCACATGTCTACACGGGTGTCTCAGGCACATACCTGTGCATACAGGCAGCCCCGTGTGCGAGCACATATGTGTGTCTGAGTGTGGCTTGTGCGATCCTCCATGTGCCCATGTGTGCAGATGTGAATCCGAGTGTGAACATGAGCTTATGTGTAGCTCTGTGTGGGTAACACCAAAGAATGGCCCACCAAGTAGAAGAGTAACTCCTTGCCCCACCTCAGTTTCCTCGTCTGTAAAATGGGGACAGCAATGGCATCTAATAGGTGGAACCAGCCAGGCACACAGTAAGTGCCATGATAGTAGCTCTTTTTATTTTGTTCCCCAGGGCTGTGTGCAGATTCCACAAAATAATAACACTGAGAAGGACTGGGGCAAGAAACTTTTCTCCCATCATTCTTAGGTCCATAAGTATTTCTTCTGTTCTCTTGGTTTTATCACTGAAAGGCAATATAACAACAGTAGAGCAAGTTTGGGAAAGAGACATGGGCAAGGGGGGGATGCCTGTCGCCCAGAAACCCACCACTCCCAACACAAGGGGGAGTTTGGTTTTGCTTTATTTTCCTGCCTTTGTCCATGAGCTAGCACAGAGCTTGGCACACAGCACAGTGCTTGAAAAAAATATTTGGATGTTTTAACGAAAATATATTAGCTAAAATCACACACTGAGTATTTTTCCATCCTGTGTTTGTTCACACATCATGCACATTTTCCATATGATAGCTGGTCTTTGTAGTTATTATTATTATTATTTGAGATGGACAGCCTGGCTCTGTCTCCCAGGCTGAAGTGCAGTGGCACGATCTCAGCTCACTGCAACCTCCGCCTCCCAAGTTCAAGTGATTCTCCTGCTTCAGCCTTTCTGAGTAGCTGGGATTACAGGTATGCAGCTGCAATGCCAGGCTGATTTTTGTATTTTTAGTAGAGATGAGGTTTCACCATGTTGACCAGGCTGGTCTCAAACTCTTGACCTCAATTGATTCATCCACCTTGGCCTCCCAAAGTGCTGGGATTACAGACATGAACCACCACACTCAGCCCAGTCTTTATAATTATTAAGGATAATAAAAGAAAATTAGGAACTACCCAATGCCCCAAACAGGCAAACAGTTCACTCAGTTATAGAAAAGCCACTGTATTAAGGAATGTCATGTCACAGTAATGAACATCTTTTTCCATTAGAATTTTTTTTCTTTCTTTGGGACAAGTTAGTGTTTCTACATTGGGAATAGGGTGTCCCAGGATCTATCTGCCCCTGGACACAAAGGAGATTCCATTAAAAAAAAAAATTAACCTTTAAGGAACTACAAATCAAAACCACAATGAAATCCCACTACACACACCCCTGAGGATGGCTACAATCAAAGACACAAACCATAACAAGCATTGGTAAGGAAGCAGAGAAATCACAACCCTTATACATTGCTGATGGGGATGAAAAAAGTGAAAAAAAAAAAAAACAGTCACAAAAGACCACCGGGCTGGGCACAGTGGCTCATGCCTGTAATTCCAGCACTTTGGGAGGCCAAGGCGAAGGGATCACTTGAGCCCAGGAGTTCTGGACTAGCTTGGGCAACATAGGGAGAACCCATCTCTACAAATAATTTTTAAAAATTTGCTAGGCCAGTGGCTCACGCCTGTAATCCCAGCACTTTGGGAGGCCGAGGCGGGTGGATCACGAGGTTAAGAGATCGAGACCATCCTGGTCAATGTGGTGAAACCCCGTCTCTATTAAAAATACAAAAAATTAGCTGGGCATGGTGGCGCGTGCCTGTTATCCCAGCTACTCAGGAGGCTGAGGCAGGAGAATTGCCTGAACCCAGGAGGCGGAGGTTGCGGTGAGCCGAGATCGCGCCATTGCACTCCAGCCTGGGTAACAAGCGTGAAACTCCGTCTCAAAAAAAAAAAAAAAAAAAAAAAATTTGCTAGGCATGTTGGTGCACCTGTGGTCCCAGCTACTTGGGAGGCTGAGCAGGGAGGGTCACATGAGCCCTGGAGTTGGAGGCTGCAGTGAGCTGTGATTGCACTGTTGCACTCCAGCCTGGGCAGGAGAGGGAGACCCTGTCTCAAAAAAAAAGACAGAAAGAAAGAAAAGGGAAAAAAAGACCACGGATTGCATGACTTCTTTTATATGAAACATCTAGAATAAGCAAATCCATAGAGACAGAAAGGAATGGGCAGTTGCCTAGGGCCAGAGAGGGGTCAGCCACAGGAATGACTGCTAAAGGGTACAAGGTTTTCGTGGGGATGATGGAAAAGTGTAAAAATTGACTGTGACAAATACATGAGAAGTTATTGAAGTGTACACTTGGTTGTTTTTGAGACAGAGTCTTGCTCTGTCGCCCAGGCTGGAGTGCAGTGGCACAACCTTGGCTCACTGCAACCTCCACCTCCCGGGTTCAAGTGATCTCCTGCCTCAGCCTCCCAAGTAGCTGGGATTACAAGCATTCACCACCATGCCCAGCTAATGTGTGTATTTTTTGTAGCGACGGGTTTTCACCATGTTGGCCAGGCTGATCTTGAACTCCTGACTCAAGTGATCTGCCTGAACTGTACACTTTAAATCAGTGAATCGTACGGCCTGCAAATTTGATCTCAATAAAGCTGTTATAGTAATGTATTTTTTAAAAAAGGATGGAGACCCAAGATGACAATTAAAATACACAGCATCATTGACTGGGAGCAGGGACTATTGCCAGGACTCATTAATCTCATGTATCTTTCACAATAACCCTGTTGGGTTATTTTCCCCGTTTTATAGATGAGGACACTGAGATTCAGAATGACTAAGTAACTGGCCCAGCAGCACTTAGTTCTTTATAGACCTGTGATGTAAACCCAAGCCCATGCTCAATTTGAAATACTTTTGTTGCCTCCTTAGAAGGCACCAGGAGCTAAGGCACCAGGCTGACGGGACAGACAGGGGCCCAGATCAGGGCCTCCTTTCTCCCCTGCCACTATCTGGCCTGGGCAGCCAGAGCTTACCATCTCTATCTCTCTGTCAGGCCTTCTCCCTGCATCTCCCTGTGTATGGCCCCTCCAGCAGAAACCCAGTGGAGGCATTGATCTGGTAAACAGATCTGACTCAGGCCTCTCCAAGGCAGCTCTCAAGCCTGTCCACCAAGTAGCCTCCAAAACTTACTGCACAGAAATAATAATACACGTGTACAAAGATGGACAGACAAAGATGTTCATCACAGCATCGTTTCTAATAGAGAAAAACTAGAAAGAACCTAAATGTCCAACACTGAAGGACTGGTTATTCCATGACAGAATGTGCAGTGGAATAATTCTGTGCAGTCCTTAAAAATCCTATGGCAGCCAGGTGCGGTGACTCACTCCTGTAATCCCAGCACTTTAGGAGGCTGAGGTGGGCAGATCACAAGGTCAGGAGTTTGAGACCAGCTTGGCCAACATGGTGAAACACTGTCTCTACTAAAAATACAAAAATTAACCAGGTGTGGTGGTGGGCACCTGTAATCCCAGCTACTCAGGAGGCTGAGGCAGGAGAATCACTTGAACCCGGGAGGCAGGGGTTGCAGTGAGCAGATACTGTGCCACTGCACTCCAGCCTGGGCAACAGATCAAGACTCCATCTCAAACCAACAAACAAAAAAAATCCTATAGCAGAAGAATCCAAAATCCTATAGCAGAAGGATCCTCACGGACATAGGAAAATGTTCACAGTATGTCAAGTGAGAAAGGCAGACCCCTGCTAGCTGCTGCCCCTGCCACCCAGGCCCACCCCTGCTTGTACCTACAGTCCAGCCACATTAACCCTCTTCTGCTCCCCCAAATGCCCCAGACTTTTCTTCTCGGGTCTTTGCAGTTGCTGTACCCTCTGCCTGAAATCCACTTCCCATCTCAACCCTTGTCATTCTCTTTCTTTTTTTTTTTTTCAACCTCTCGAGTAACTGGGACTATAGGTGTGCACTACCACACTTGGCTAATTTTCACTTTTTTTTTTTTTTTTTAGAGGGAAAAAGAGGAAAAGAAGGGGAAAAAAAGAAAGAGGGAAAAAGGAATATTACTTCATTCCTAAAATGGGTTTCAATAATGGCCGATCAATATTTTGAGTGTTGAAAGTGGTTAATGCATATTTTATGTGTTTAAAATGGAGACCTCTATTGTGTTTATTTGTTCTGGCTCTGAGTTCAAGTCCTGGATATCGTTATCAATTTGTTGTCTCGTTGAATCTAAATCTCATTATGTGTCTTATGTATCTGGGTGTTAAGATCTCTTATTGTTACATTAATCCTTTTACCCTTGCATCCTTGTAGCTTTGAAATCTATTTTATTAAGTGTGAGAATTGCAACTCCTGCTTTTTATTTATTTATTTTTGCTCTCCATTTGGTTGGTGAGTTTTTTTCATCCCCTTGTTTTGAGTCTTTGTATATCTTTAGATATATCGTTAGATTTTGTGGATAATGTATATTTTGTGTGTTTAAAATGGAGAGCTCTATTGAGTTTATTTGTTCTGGATCTTAGTTCCAGTCCCGGATATCGTTATCAATTTTCTGTCTCGTTGAATCTAAATCTCATTATGGGTCTTATGTATCTGGGTGTTAAGATCTCTTATTATTACATTAATCCTTTTACCCTTGTATCCTTGTAGCTTTGAAATCTATTTTGTCAAATGTGAAAATTGCAACTCCTGCTTTTTATTTATTTATTTTTGCTCTCCATTTGGTTGGTACATTTTTTTTTCCAACCCTTTATTTTGAGTCTATTTATATCTTTGGATATACTGTTAGATTTTGTCTGTATCTTTTGATTGGGAGATTTGGTCGATTTAAATTTAGGGTTGCTGCCATTTGATATTAACTGGCTATTTTGTCCTTTCGTTGATAAAAATTCTTCTTTATGTTAATGCTCTTTACTTTTTGGTGTATTTTTAGAAAGGGTCATACTGGTTGTTCCTTTCTGTGTATAATGCTTCTTTTAGAAGTTCTTGTAAAGCAGGCCTGATGATAATAAAATCTCTGAGTACTTGCTTGTTCCTAAAAGATTTTATTTTTCCTTCAAATGTAAAGCTTAAATTGGCAGGATATGAAATTCTGGGCTGAAAGTTCTGTTGATTAAGTATATTGAATATTGGCCCCCACTCTCTTCTAGCTTGTAGGGTTTCCATTGAGAGATCTGCTGTAAGCCTAATAGGCTTACCTTTATGGGTAACTTGATCTTTCTCTCTGGCTGCCCTTAATATTTTCTCCTTCGTTTCAATCTTGGTGAATCTAACGATTATGTGCCTTGGGGTTGGTCTTCTTGAGGAATATCTTTGTGGTGTTCTCTGTATTGCCTGGGGTTGAATAGTGTCCTGCTTTGCTATTAGGAAAATTTTCCTGGATAATGTCCTGGAGAGTATTTTCCAGCTTGACTTCATTCTCTCCGTCACATTCAGGTACACCAATCAAGTGTATATTAGGTTTTTTCACATAGTCCCATATTGCTTGGAGACTTTGCTCATTCCTTTTTATCCTTTTTTCTCTATTCTTGTCTTGTTGTTTTGTTTCATTAAGTTGGTCTTCGACCTCTAATACCCTTTCTTCTGCTTGATCCATTCGGCTGTTTAAGCTTGTACATATTTCACTAAGTTCTCGTGTTGTATTTTCCAACTCCATAAGTTCATTTGTATTCCTCTCTATATTGTCTATTCTTTTCAACATTTCATTGAACCTTTTTTCCAAGTTCTTAGTTTCTTTACATTGGGTTAGAACAAGTTCCTTTAACTCCCAGAAGTTTCTTATCATCCACCTTTTAAAGCCTACTTCAGATAATGGAACACAGTCCTTTTCCATCAGGGCTTGTTCGGTTGCTGATGAGTCCTTTTCCATCAGGGCTTGTTCCGTTGCCGATGGGTTCTGATTTTGAGTATACTCGGCCTTCTTAGGCTGTTTTTTTCCCCTTCATTGTAGATGAACCACCTTTCTAATTAGGTTTCTGAGTTGACGTCCGACTTATTGATTCCCAGTGTTGGGATCCGAGCAACCCACTGTGGCAGCCTAAATAGCAGCGGTAAGACTGATTGGTGCTCTTCTGCCCGGGAATCTCTGGTCTGGCTTCCCTCTTGAGTCCGCAACAAGCGGCTCTGACTTCCCGGAGCTCCAAACTCCGGTCAGTAGGGGAAGCAGTCCCGTTGGCTCTGCATGAAGAGCTGCTGCGCCGAGGTGCCGGCAAAACTGCTGCGGCGGCCACAAGAGTCGCGCTGGCGACCCGTGGGGCTCCTCCACTGGGAATCAGCTAATCGGTGAGTGACGAAAATTCGTCTAAAGATGTGGCGTCGTCTCGTTCTCTGAGCTTTCACTGGGAGCTACAATCCTGAGCTGTTAGTGGTCGGCCATCTTGGATCCCTGTCATTCTCTTTCAAGCTGGCTAACTCTGCCGCAGCCTTCAGGTCTCAGCTGAGCTCTCTATTCCCCTGGGAAGTACCCCTGGGCCCTCAGGCTGGGGCAGGGTCCCTCCCTGTGCCCTCACAGCCCTGTGGGCCCCCCATCATGGCACCTATCACCCTGTGACTGGCCATTTAACTAATGCCATCTGCATTTGACTCCAGAAGACAAGTCCAGACCTGTCTAACTGGACTGACACTGTTTTCTTAGTGTCTGATCTCAGAGGAGGCCTCTTCCAGTGACTTCTGTGGCAACTGGAGTGAAAGCCGGTCTCCTCTGCATGTTCTCCAAGGTCTTGCGTGGTCTGGCCAGTGTCCATGCCCCAACTCATCTTCTATGTTTTTTCTCAATCATTCCGTTCCAGCCTCATGGGCCTTCTAGATGGTTCTCCTACATGCCGAATGCATGCCTGCCTCAGGACCTATGCATTTGCTGTTTCCTCTGCCTAGAATAAAATGGCAGAATAACCAAGACCTGAAGCTTCACCTCAACTGGCCCTCCTCTGGGCCCTGCTCTTCTCACCTGTAAAACAGAGGTGACCACCTGCCCAGTCTCTCTCTCTTCATCCCCCTCCCTCCCCTGCAGGCCATTGTGAGGGTCCCATGAGGCCAGGGTTGAAGCATGTTTGATGAAGCATGCAGGGCAGAGGAACCTCGAGATATTTTAGGGGCCTTGAGAAGAACTCACCTAGTTAGCACAGGTATCACAAGCACAGTCTAATGGCCAATACTTGATTGGCTTCGTGTCCTTGAGAGGCTTTTCAAAGTCTCATCTGAAACTCCTTATAAAAAAGTTCTGGTAAAGCCAATTTAAAGGGAGCCAATCACGATTCTTGCTGCACTTTATGCAACAAATCGGGTCAAGTATAATAAGTCTAAAATTTATTTTACAAAGAAATCAGTCCTACTACGATTTATCTTTGCTAAACTTGGGGGACTGGAGAGGGAAAAATTGTCATGATTAGTTGTTGTTATAATGGCATAGAGAGCTGGGGACCCAGCTTCCTCATGAACCAAGAAGGGTAGGAGGAGGGCAGGAGGAAAGACAAAGGCAGGCTGTTTCCCACTTTGCCCCAGGCTGGGCCCAGCTAGGCTTGGCAGGCCACGCTCTGAGCTCATTGCCCCAGGTGCAGCCTGGCCTTTAGCAGGGAGTTGCTGAGGCTGGGCAGGGCTTCTGTGGAATCAGGCATCTGGTGACTGCTTATCTAACCTTCCCAAGCCAGGAGGGCCTGGGGCAGGTGGCAGGGTATCTTCAGCCCTCTGCCTTCCTGGTGTGAGTCTCTCTCTCTCTCTTTCTTTTGTTTTTGTTTTTGAGACAGGGTCTCACTCTGTTGCCCAGGCCAGAGTGCAGTGGGGCAATCACGGCTCACCGCAGCCTGGACCTCCTGGGCTCAGGTGATCTTCCCACCTCAGTCTCCCCAGTAGCTGGGACTACAGGCATGTGCCGCCATAGCCAGCTAATTTTTTGGTGTTTTTTGTAAAGATGGGGTTTTACTGTGTTGCCCAGGCTGGTTTCAAACTCCTGGGCTCAAGCCATCTGTCTGCCTCGACTTTCCAAAGTGCTAGGATTACAGGCATGAGCCGCCATGCCTGGCTGAGTCTCTCTTTGTTACAAACTTAATTTTCTCTTCTCCCAGGAGAGGCCCCAGATGCCAGATGGGATGCCAGAGGCTCCAAATAATCAGCTCTCAGGGGTCCCTCTGCTCTTTTGGCCCATTCCTGGCTCCCTAAGTGTTTAAGGGGGCGCCTAATGTCATATATACATACAATAGGCTATTTTCAAATTCTTACTAAATGGCTCTACCTGAATGTCTGACAGGCTTAAAAATATTTTTCAGGCTAAGAAAGGAAGGACATTCTGACGGGTGCCACAAGATGGATGAACCTTAAGGACATTGTGCTAACCGAAACAAGCCAGTCACGAAAAGACAAGTACTGATTGCAGGTATATGAAGTATCTAGAGTAGTCAAATTCATAGAGACAGAGGGTAGAATGGTGATAAGCAGGGCAGTGGGGAAGGTGAATGAAGAGCTACTGTTCAGTGGGTGCACAGTTTCAGTTTTGTGAGATGAGAAACTTCTGGAGACCTATTGTACAACAATGCAAATATACTGAACATTTTCAACCTAAAGAAGGCAAATTAATATAGGTAGAGAGTTTATTTGGGCCAAGGTTGAGAATTGCAGTCCAGAAACACGTCCCAAGTTACTTTAAGAAATACTGTGGAGAACAAAGAAGATGTTCCAGGTTTTTTAGAAAGAACAAATCATGAGGGGGGGGGCAATTACAAAATTGTTTTTCAGGAATTCTCATTAGTTTCCAGAAATGACATTAACTGTTGATTGACTCTACCTAGTTGTACTATAGGATATGAGTTATGGTGTCTAGTGGGGGTCAGTGTTAATTTATAGATTTTGGTGGTGATACTCAGCCTAGAGATAGCACAGCAGGCAGCTTTGAAATGATTATTTAACTCCAAGTGGGCGGGAAAACATGATTGCTGTCTCATTCCAGTGCCTCTCTGGGCCTGATCATTTAAAAGAACCTTGCTTTTCTTGGATAAAATAATTCTTTTCTGTCTCATTTCTCCCTTTCAATCAAAAATCTTTTTTCTTGAGAGCATTGATTAAAATCTAAGTGTCAAGGTGTCCCTCGTCACTGGGAGGGCTCATTCCTGGACAGTCCTGTCTCATATAGAGGGGGAAGGAGAAAATGTCTCAGTGAGGAATTTTAAGGGTGCCCAGAAGCCGAATTGGTACAGCATCACAGCGTGGCAAAAAATGAGACCTCAGTCAAGTCACTGATTTATATAGCTGCTGTCATTTGTTAAATCATCTCTCATTTTCAGAACCGGGATTTTAGTTTTCTTTGGAGAAGTAAAACAATGAGAGATATTTAACATTAATAATTTGAATAGTACAAATTTAACATTCATAAGAATTATCACAAAGAGAATTTGTTTGCCAAAAAAAAAAAAAAAAAAGAACCTATTCCATTAGGAAGCCAACTTGAAACATCATGAAGAAATTAAATCCAAGTTTTTCTTTAGAAACTTGTAATGAAAAATAATTCAGGATTCAGTTCAAATTTTGGGCAAAAAATAAAAACTCAAAGACCATGGTCAGGGCTAGAAGCTAACAGGTGTGCTATTGAAACAATTTTTCTCTCTCCTGTCCCCCCAATTTTAGCAAAGATAAATCATAGTAGGACTGATTTCTTTGTAAAATATAAATTTTAGTCTTACTATACTTGACCTGATTTTTTGCATAAAGTGCAGCAAGAATCGTGATTGGCTCCCTTTGAATTGGCTTTACTGGAACTTTTTCATAGGGAATTTCAGATTAGACTTGTCAAAGCCTCTCAAGGACATGAAGCCAATCAAGTATTCACCATCAGACTGTGCTTTTAATATCTGTACTAACTGGGTGAATTGTTCTCTCCTTAAGGTCCCTAAAATATCTTGAGGTTCCTTGGACTTCTCAGAAAGTGACATTCTTTACTTACCTCAAGGTCAGGAACCCTGTAAAGGAACCACATAGACAAGATATCAAGCCAGTCTTTTACCAAGCCTATTAGCTTTATAAAGTCAACTCAATCCCTCAAAGCAGTCTGAAAATCTATGAAAATCACCCATTCTAGTCAAAGCCTGAGTAAAATAACCAGTGTTCTCAATGGTGTCAGGTTCTTATTGAAATAACTATATTGCAATACAGTTTGCAATAACTATGCAAATAGTTACTTTAGAAGTGCAAATAACTATATTGCCATAAAATAAGAACACTCGCAAATAGTTTCTGAGTTCTGGAGCAATCAGATAGAAAAGCAAATGTGGCCGGGCGCAGTGGCTCACGCCTATAATCCCAGCACTTTGGGAGGCCGAGGCGGGTGGATCACAAGGTCAAGAGATCAAGACCATCCTGGTCAACATGGTGAAACCCCGTCTCTACTAAAAATACAAAAAATTAACTGGGCATGCTGGTGCACGCTTGTAGTCCCAGCTACTCGGGAGGCTGAGGCAGGAGAATTGCTTGAACCCAGAAGGCGGAGGTTGTGGTGAGCCGAGATCGTGCCATTGCACTCCAGTCTGGGTAACAACAGCGAAACTCCATCTCAAAACAAACAAACAAAAAAAGAAAAGCAAATGTGTTAATTTGCTCACAAAAGTATAGTTCACCCAATTGCTCTAAGTAGCTTAAAAGAAAAGTTTTCTTGACTCTGGAAAACAAAACACAAAATGAATCCACAATATTTCAAACAACAAGTAATAAAACATCATTTTAGACCTTCATTAGTTAAGTACAATGTAATTAATTCTTATTCTGGTTGATGCTGGGTTAGCAATCTAACTCCTCAGTGTTTTAAATTAAGGTTCTGAAAGTTTTTCCCTAGACCAATGTTATGATCTTAAAACTTATCAGAAACCTGACAACTATTTAAGGATACTTGTCATTGTCCTTTCCACAAATTTCTTGAAGAAGCAGCTAATTTTGGACTATCACTGACTATAAGACACTTTTTGAGAAAAATCAAAGTCAAATAATAATTGTCTACAGATGATAAAAAACTTAGAATAGCCATGGTTAAAGACACAGCTGATAAGGAAATTTGGTTATTTTTGTGGCATACAACAATTTAACATAATGTTCATAATTATGACTGATAACATACCAAGACATATCATATTTTTTGAAATTTCATACAACTTCAGCACACATATTAATAACACATTTATATAAATATAATTTGAAGAAAGTTAAACACCATTTCTTATTTGGTAATGCTTCCCATATGATTTTAACATACCAAATAAACTTAGTATGTCTCTCTTGGACTTTCAAGGGTTATTTTTTTGAATGTCCAAAAGTTAGTTTGAAGTCAAAAAGATTCAATTTAGAATTTTAAATTTGATTTTGAGAAGTATGTCAAATCTAAAGGCTTAAAACATTTGATATCAAAATAAGATCACAGGTCAGTGTAAAACTATAGTCATTGGTCTAAAAAGCGATTATTCAAATATTTCAAAAAGCAAATCTTTACCCTTTCATAGAGAGGAGATTCAGTTTTTAATCAAAAGACCTGATAAAGACAGCTTAAGTCTAACAGAATATCTCTCCCTCTCCCCCATTTCTTTTCTTTCTCTTTCTTTCCTTCCTTCCTTTTTTCTTTCTTCCTTCCTTCCTTTCTTCCTTTTCCTTTCTTTCTTTATGAAGCTTACTCAAAAGGTAAACAAAAAATCTTTTATTATCTCTTATTAATACTATATGAGACTGGACATAGTGGCTCATGCCTATAATCCCAGCAATTTGGAAGGCCAAGATAGGCATATCAACCTGAGGTCAGGAGTTCAAGATCAGCATGGCCAACATGGCAAAACCCCGTCTCTCCTAAAAATGCAAAAATTAGCTTGATGTGAAAAAAAAAACATTATCTGGTTCAAAAGAAAAAAAACAATTCTACTTTTTAAAATTAAAACATTATAAATATGATGCACACATTTATAATGTGCATCAGCACATTATAAATACGAAGCCTATTTTTGTTGTTGTTGTGGTTTTTGAGACAGAGTTTCACTCTTGTTGCCCAGGCTGGAGTGCAATGGCACCATCTCAGCTTACCGCAACCTCTGCCTCCCGAGTTCAAGCGATTCTCCTGCCTCAGCCTCCCGAGTAGCTGGGATTATAGGCATGAACCACCACACCCAGCTAATTTTGTATTTTTAATAGAGACAGGGTTTCACTGTGTTGTTCAGGCTGGTCTTGAACTCCCGACTTCAGGTGATCTGCCCGGCTTGGCCTCCCAAAGTACTGGGAATACAGGTGTGAGCTACCATATCCAGCCCTAATTTGAATAAAACCTTATAAATAAATCCATCCAATCCCAATCAGCTTTGACCACATAAGATAATATTTCCATAAACCTTTTGTAACCTCTTACAGTTTTTCCATTCCTCTTTCTTTTCTCAACTTTCTGTATTCATTCAGTTAATCTATTTCATTTTTTCCTTCTTTTATCCCAATTTAATACAGTCTTTAACCTCTAAACTAGGCAAAATCACATTCTCTTTAACAAAAACCATATAATTACGTCTTGTAATCTTCCATCCTAAAAATATATCTTACTTTCCTTATATATTCTGAATACAGAATTATTTTCCTTCTGGTCTCTAGTATTAGTTACCATATATTAGTCAGAATTTTAAATCTTAGTAATCATAATTTATGCTGAAAACCTAAGAAGTAATTTTTTTTTTTTTTTAGACAGTCTCACTCTGTCACCCAGGCTGGAGTGCAGTGGTGCAATCTCGGCTCACTGCAACCTCTGCCTCCCAGGTTCAAATGATTCTTCTGCCTCAGCCTCCAAAGTATCTTGGACTGCAGCTGCACACCACCACACCAGCTAATTTTTTGTAGTTTTAGTAGAGACAGGGTTTTACCATGTTGGCCAGGCTGGTCTCGAACTCCTGACCTGAGGTGATCCACCCACCTTGGTCTCCCAGAGTGCTAGGATTACAGGTGTGAGCCACCACACCCAGCCAGAAGTAATTTTTAACTGTCAGTTATGTACTAACAATTTATGAATACACATTTTATAATAGTTGGAAACAGGCTTTCTACTAGAACAATTTTTCAATGTGGAATAGGATATTTTTACTAACAAATCTTATTTATTTTATTTTATTTTTTTGAGACAGGGTCTTACTGTGTTGCCCAAGCTGGAGTATAGTGGTGTGATTATAGCTCACTGCAGCCTCAGACTCCTAGGCTTGAGTGATCCTCCTGCCTCAGCCTCTTGAGTAGCTGGGACTACAAACATGCACCACCACTCCTGGCTAACTTTTAAACTTTTATTTTGTAGAGAAAATGTCTCACTATGTTGCCCAGGCTGTTCTCCAAATCCTGGCCTCAAGCAATCCTCTTACCTCAGCTTTCCAAAGTGCTGAAATT